GATGTTGTAATGGAACATTTTGTACAAAACGAAATCGTTTCTTAGGTGTTAGTCAAGCTTATACATTTCAAATATCCTTTACTACTATTATATTCTCTATGAGTTCTTTTTTACTTTTTATTTGATATTTGTATAAATTACAGAAAATGTGCTTCTCTTTTTTTTTATTTACATATTATATTAATAAAGATGTCGATTAATTTTTATAATCGCTCAAATAAATAGATATATTCACTGATCTTTTTGGAGTTTTAAAACAATTTAAATGATATAATTGTACTCGAAGGAAAAAGATCGAGCAGTTTTGATTATAAAATCATAAAACTCATTGAGTTGAAAATAACAACTTCTCTCTCGGCTTGTAAATGTTTATTAATACTTTACATAAAGATTCTTTATTCATTCTGCGGTTTTATATTATTTAGAAAGAAAATACAGTACACACAAAAAAAACTTCAGAACTTTTCAAATATGAGTATGCAACAGATTAATCCATCAAATACTGACATCTACTTTTCATCGTTAATTTTGTAAATAAAACAATCGGTTAAGATAAAAACATTTTCATATAACTCTTATCGTATTTATATTAATTTTCACACATAACAGTTATTTTTTCTCACTAGGTAATAATTCGTCCATTCAGTATTGACGCTTTTTCAAACGATCACATTTTATTTACCTGTTCTATTTTTAATATCTAATGTACATTGAGAAAATAACAGACGCTATGCGTCTACTATTTCCGAAGAACATGCTTTTGTAGACTTAAACAGTAAAATTAATGTATATGTCGAAGTACAGAATAGAATTTAGTTCAGATTAAAATTTTGACCTAAACTAGAACAAAATGAAATGTGTTAAAATAAGAACGTTATATAGCTGTAAGCAAAAAATAGAACTCATGATTAATTCAATTTTTCTGTCTGTTGGTTCTCGAAAACATGTTGAGGTGTGTAAATCTAAGTGAACTGTTATCATACGTCATATGTGTTTTCCGTTTCTGTCATATACTTCGTTTCGGATTTTTCCTTTCTATCATATTCTTCGTCAGGCGTTTTTCCTTTGTGTTTTCTCTCTCTCGCGTTCAATAGGTATTTTCCTTCTTATGCCTTTTCTCCACCTTGTAAATAGTTGCTTGTGTACCTACAATAAATAACAAGTAAACAGTAAAAGAAATTTTGTAAGTTTCAGATTGAGATATGCATAAATTTTATTAGGAGTATTAACTATTAAGTTCAAATGTTAGTCTCCGTCCATTATTGAAAAAGTATCGCTAACTAGATCTTATTCCAAAAGTTTTTGCGTCTTAGAACAATGAAAACTAAATGAACTTTAGTTTTGCGTATTTTCAGTACATGAATATTTGTCCTGCGAAGAACTTTTATCCGTATCAAAAAATGATTTGTTCCACTGTTTCTAGAGTAATTAAAAAATATAATTAGGAAGAAAGCTTCAATTTTTATTGATCGAAGGAAGTGATATTGTAAAAAAACGGAAATCATTTTATGAGAACATATATGACAACAGTTTGTCATTCGGATCCGATTTCGATTGTCTAGTAAATATTGATTCTATATCAATAGCAGACAGTTTCTACGTCATATTTTTGAAAGCTAGGAAGTAAAAGCAAGCATATATAATATCACGTCTATAATTGTGATTTTGAAAATACACATAAGCAAGAGATTAACACTTCATTTTTATGTTTTTTTTTATTATTATCTAATAAAATAAATTGTTATCTTTCTAGAATAAATTATATATATAATCTCAATATTATAAATTCTAATTTTATTATGAATTTATTTCTACATTCATATTGACAGATTTTTGATCTAATAAATCCGTAAGTAATAAATGAATAAATAAATATCTCTGATTATTATTTTCATTCTTATTCGAATGATTATCTAATAGTTTTTCTAATAACGATTTTTCAGAAGTTTTTATCTGTTTTTCATCTGAATCTAAATTTTTTATTGTTTTTGTTTTTATAATAAGATTATTTTCTGTATGTTCATGAAGATGTTCAACAAGATGATTTTGTCGCGTAAAACAAATAGGACATCGAATAGAATAATTTGATATCAAATGTTGTTCATTTATATGTTTAATTAAAATATTTAATGAGAAACCATTTTGATTACAATAAGGACATGTTAAAGACATTGGAGAACGTTGTGTACGTATATATCCAAAATAAATATGTTCATAATCATTTGATGTTAGAATAAGTTGCATTGGATGATGAATAGAATGTGTTTGAATTGATAGATTTTGATTTTTATCATAACATATTGAACATAAATCAAAATCATTACATATTAAACATTTATAACGACGACCTGAAAAATTTAATTTTCGACATAAATCACAAGAAATTCCATGATGTATTGACATTGAATCAGAAAGAAATTATTTTTGGTTGCTAAGATATTAATATAGTCTTATAGAAATATTTTTCAATTTAAATAATCTATAGAAATCAGCAGGGTGATTATAGTTATGCATGAAATAAAAAAAGAACTAATATTAAATCGTATAATTATCGTCGCGAACTACAGTCGATATTCTTGATTTTGTAACCTTTGAAAATAAAAGTACAAAAAAATAGTTAGATAGTTGTAATTTAGCCTTCTTTTTTTCTTCTCTTTCTTTTTTTAACTAAATTACTTGCATTATTTATACTTTCTTCGGGGTTATGTGCTTTTTTAGAAATGAGAAAGAGAGAAAAGAAAAGTAATTATGTCTATCGTTTTTATAAATATCCAAAAGCACTTGTTTGATGATTGGAATAATATGTTTAAAATAAGAGTTTATAGGTCTATTTACGTATTATATATATATTTATTGACGAGCTTAATAATTCGACTGCATTCATATTTAAATCATTTTCTTCTTCCCGTATATTTACTCAGAAATCAGTATTATGGTTTTTATTTTTTTGTACTTTAACGTTTTTTAATATTAAAGAATATAGTATTTTCGTATGCATAATAACGATAAGGTAGAAGAAAAGGTTATTTTTTTTCTAAATTCTCATAATGACCTGTTAGATTTTGAATAATCGTAGAAATTTATATATTAGTTTTGAAAAGAAAACTTCTAAGGAGTTTGCATTGGAATCTGATTTCTTTTTTGTATTTAATGTATTAATCAATAGAGTTGTTTGAATACGACGAATGAGAAACGAAAAGAAACAGTCGTACGATACATGTAAGTTAAAATAGTCATGAATTTATAGTCAGACGATAGGTAGAATAATATGAGAAAGAAGAAAAGGTTAAAACGAATAATTTTTTTCTTGTTTTCAAACCCTCGAATGTACAAATAATGGAGATTTAAATATTTTTTTAACTTAATAAAAAATGTCATTTTCCTCCGGTACATACAATTAACGAGGATATGAGTGTAACAATAGTATTTTCTAGACATTTCTTGTATTACTGTAATTCTCGAAAATTATTATCATGTAATGAATATTCATTGAAATTATAGTTACACAATAGAATGAAATAGGAAAGCTTACAATCGACTCGAAACATCTATTTATTCTGCTATAAGTACAAATATATTTTTAGTACCAGTATTTTATTTTACTTTTTTTCAGAAAACAACGAATTAAATGTCGACATCCACAAAAACAGCGCGGCCAAAAATAAAACATAAATCTATAATATCTCAAAAACAAACAACATCATGTGTCTTATCGGATTTTTCTGATTCATCTGAAACTTGTAATTGTATTAAAGATTTATCGATAGTTATCGATGATAGAGAATCTACCTTTTCGCAACAGCCTTCATCATTAGAACTACATTATCCTGTATTTACTATTGCTGTTGGAATATTTGATATTCTTATGCTCTTTGTTGTATACATTGTTCAAGAAGGAACGACGATAACGTCTGATACATGGATTGTTATGGGCTCTAAATATGTTCCTTGTATGAAACCACTTTATTCTACATCAGAACAAGAAATGTATAATACTCAATTAAAATCTCAATGTCGACCATTTCTATTTCCTTATCAATTTTTTCGTTTTGTTACTCCGATATTTCTTCATGGAGATGGTACACACCTTTTAAGTAATCTTATTTATCAAGCGTTAGTTGGGACTCTTTTGGAAGGAAAATATAGTATGAAAAAATTAGGAATATGTTATATTCTATTTGGCTCTAGTGGTAATATTATGAGTGCTTTGTGTAATCCAAGGAGCAGTAAGTAAATAATGATGATGATACATGTAAATGAACTAAAAATTTTGATATATTTTAGTATCTGTGGGTGCATCTGGTGCTGTTTATGGTCTTTTACTCTTCTGTATTATTGATAATACTTTGCGAATTTTTCCTACTAATAATATTCAAGAGAAAAGTAATCGATTTTTCATTACATTTCTATCTATACCATATTTTATATGGAGTATATGTTTTGATGTTGATGGATCGGGTCGTACTGATCATGCAGCACATATTGGTGGTGCAGTTATGGGTATTTTAATAGCTGTATATTTATGTGATATGCCAGAATGTATAACAACTAGAATTTTGAATGGCAAAGAGAGAATTCCATGTATTGCATTGTCTTTAATTATAGCTTATTTTGTTATTACATTGCTTATCTTTTATTTATTCATACCGGTCAATCTCAAATAATTAAAAGTCCAACGAGTGATATGTTCATACATTGTTCAGATAGTGTTATTATTGAAACAGTACAAGTATACAATTATATTAAAAATTTGTTTTATTTTCAAGAAAAATATTTATGATTTTTAAAGTTTTATTTTTATTATTTGTAAATATATAGATAAATATTTGAAATAAATTTATTTATTAATTCAAAATAATTATAAATATATCTTGTGAACAATAGTATCTTACCGAATAATAATAATTGAGAAAGAATATGTTTCTTTTGTACTGTTATAAAATTAAACTCATACAGATCTTTAAACTCAAACGAAACTAATGCATAATAGTTGTGTTATATGATATAAATGTCTACATATAAATCAGTCTTCAACTTATTCATTTCATTTATTAAATTTTTATTTTGCATGCTGATATTATACTTCTTTGACTATAAAAATGATGAATCTACGAAACAATGTCTTTCTTTCTAATCTCAATACTAGGTGAAATTTTCTACATTTAGTCGAAACGTTTTATTATAGACATGAAACACAGTACATAGAACAAAATGAACGACTTCATGCAAGATCAAACAATAGAATGAGAACAATTGTTGAAATTTTATATTAATTATTTTTGTGTACATGATACTTCATCTATCTAATGATTTATGTAAACTATCGAAAATTTTTTTACTTATGATTATATATAGATTCACGATTAGTAAAAGATTTTTAACAATAGTATGAATATACGAAAATATCCAGTGATACACATGATAAAAACTTGATTAGAATTAGTATGTATATAGTTTAGTCACAGTTCAAAGAGTTATGTGAAAATAATTTTATCGATATATAAATACAAAAAGTAAAAATAAGTATTGCCAGTCGTATAGAAAAAGATTGATATGAATATTCTCCTGTTGTCTTTTACTTGATACAAAATAAATTTAATTTATTACTCTTTCAATATAAAATTCTTTTTCTGTAATGTGCTAAAAAGTACTTTTCTTTTTTTTAACCCTTCTTTTAAAGAAGAAATGAAACAAACTTTTACAGGGCTAATGCGTAGTTGTTTTTTCTTCTCTTTTCATCATAAAACACATCTAATGAGAAGAATGAGTAATACATGTGCATTTTCTATCAACGATTGCCGTGCCTGCCTTTTACGTCTCGTGATCGTTTCTTTTTTTTCTCTTTTTCTTTCATTTTTTTGCACAAACTCAAGGTAAAAGGAGTCGCATAAAAGTTGCAAACATATATGTTGACATACATCCGCCTATTAAGCGACTGATACAATACTATCAATTGAAATTTATTCTTGTATCTTATTCAGTTTTTCGATATTGATAATAAAGTTTATAAAATGTCATTTAAAATGTAAGTTCCATATGTTTGTGACTTGTTTTCATGATATTCGATAAATAAAAATACATACTTTGACAAATTGTCATCAACAGCTGTTAGCTTTTTTTCCCTTTATTTTCAGTATTGAGTTTTGAATGTTTATTGATCATTAATAAATACAAAAAGAAGATATTTCTTTGTTTTCCTATAATATTTTCTTGTTTAGTGTCCATATTACCATTTTAAAAACAACGTTGTTCGTTCAAGCATGAAAAGATAAAATAGTACATGAGTGCAGCTACTATAATCATGATATTTGTCTATTTGTTTTTTTTTTCTTTCATCAAAGGTATTCAAACCTACTGAATATATATTTTTAGATATACATATACGTATTATTTTTTACTTGTCTTCGTCCGAGTAACATGACGGCGAAAGCCTTATTCGCCATTTGTTTAATTGGTAGGATATTTCTTTTATTGAAAACGATAAAACTTGTATTTCTATATATGCTTCTAAGGTTTAACAATCAGTTCTACTACTGCATATTCAAAGGAATGTGCGATTGGACCTACACATTGGTGTAAATCATTTGAAAATGCAGAAGATTGTGGAGCAATACGTCATTGCACCGATACAGCTTGGGTTAACGACAATAAATACGCATCAATTGAATCATCAACAACATGCAAATGGTGCCAAAAAATTCTTGAAAATACTTACAATGGAATACAAAATTTAGTCAATGATGAAGTTTGTATTATGTAATAAATAATTATAATATGAAACCTATTTTATATTGTAGAATGTAATTGTAACTAAATTGGCTGAGGGATGTAAATTATTATCATCAAATGATTTCTCATCCAAAGTGAGTTTAAATTATATTTATTAAATATTTTTTATAAAAACGGAAATTATCTAGTGTACGAACATAATCAATACTTATGGAACATCAGTTACTTCATTGATGAAGAATAAAGTAAATATAAAAAAAAGATGATTACTAGTTTTTAAATAACTTTTATCTATAATTTTGCAGCGTTATGCAACAATATGTCGTTTAATGAGTATTTGTTCAAGTGAACCGACTATTGAAAATCCACCAGTGATTGTTGGACAAAAACGTTGTACATGGGGTCCATCATATTGGTGTTCATCATTAAGTAATTCACGTGAATGTGCTGCAACTGTTCATTGTTCAAATAAAGTATGGTCACAACAAGCAATTGAAAAGAAGAAAAATGACAATATCTGTCAATATTGCGAATTTGTTATCGGAAAATTACGTTCTTTTATAAATGATAATACAACAGAGGTATATTGCAACAATGAATTAGAAGATAGTCTACAATTTTTTCTTCTTTTGCAGATTAATGTAGAGAAATGGTTATCCGGTGCTTGTTCAATGTTACAAACAAAAGATGCAGTTGATAAAGTAGTACAACTATAGTTTTTTTTTCAAATTATTTAATTAAAATTTTTTTAGTGTGTACAAATGATGAGTAAATATGCAGATGAAATTCTGGTTTTAATCAAGAATAAAATTGTAAGTTTATAATTTTTAGTTTATTTCTAATGATGTTGATATAAAATAGGATGCTGGTATAATTTGTCATTTGGGAGAAATGTGTAACGAGGCAACAATTGTCGTACGTGTTACACCTGATGAAAATCAACTGAAAGATGTTGCTGATGGTCAAGTTGAAAAGCAACTGAAAGACGTTGGTGGTGGTCAAGTTGAAAAGCAACTGATAGAACTTGGTGGTGGTCAAGTTGAAAAGCAACTGATAGAACTTGGTGGTGGTCAAGTTGAAAAGCAACTGATAGAACTTGGTGGTGGTCAAGTTGAAAAGCAATTGAAAGAAGTTGGTGGTGGTCAAGTTGAAAAGCAACTGAAAGAAGTTGGTGGTGGTCAAGTTGAAAAGCAACTGATAGAACTTGGTGGTGGTCAAGTTGAAAAGCAATTGAAAGACGTTGGTGGTGGTCAAGTTGAAAAACAATCGAAAGAAGTTGTTGTTGATGATGAAAAATCAAGAATGTTATGTAATATTATTGTTCGTGCTACATATGACCTTCTTACTAATCAACAGAAAACTCAACATGAAATTCACACATTTTTGAAAGATGATTGTCAAAAATTATCGTCATCTGAACTTATACAAAAAGTAAAAGAAATAATTAAATAAAAAAAAATCATCATTATATTTTTATTTAATTAGTGTGGAGATTTAGTTGATCAACGTGGTGACGGTATTTACATAGATGTACTTAAAAAAAAGGTAAACCGTAAAAAAAATTTTGAACAAGAAATATAATTTATTTTTTACAGGAATTATCAAAAATCTGTGATCATTCTAGTGATTCTGATGTAGCTCAAGTATAATATTCCTAACTGAATTTTTTTAATAATATTAATTGTTCTATTTAGTCCATTTCACAAACTCCTTGTGATATATGTACATTCGTTTTAGCAACAGTTAAATACATGCTCAATGCTAAACATCCAGAAGTAAGAAAAACTATATTGATTATTACGTCTAATCATTACTGTATTTCTCAAAGGATAAAGTTCTTCTGTATATTGATGAACATTTATGTTCAGATTTACATGGTGAAATTCAAACAAATTGTAAATACATGATAAAAACAAACGGAGACGATCTCATTAAGAATATCCAACATAAAACTGTAAAATTTACAAAAAAAAACTGTTCATCTAATATATTAAATTTCAATATTTAGAAACCAATACTTCTTTGTACTTATTTTCAAGTTTGTATGGATAAAATTAGTGATGGAACATTTCCAGTACAAAAAGTTAGAAATTTTGCATTGTTAGTCATAATAAATATTCAATATAATTTTAGAGTGAAATGCGTTCATTTCTCAAAGAAAGTATTTGTGATCAACTTGGTCCATTTGAAGAATCAGTAAGTTTTGTTTCTACTGTGAAAACTAATTTTTAGAATTTTGTTTTTTATTAATAATTAGTGTCATGCATTAATGGAAACAGATACGAATCGTCTTCTGAAAACATTTGTTAATGATATCGTAAGTTTCTATTGTTCGTAGAATAGTATTTAAAATTCGATATGATAATAGAATGGTGATGTTCTTTGTCAAATGTTTGGAATATGTCCAATGAAAATGTCATTTATTGATAATTTATCGATTAAAGATGTGAGTAGAACTATTATCATTAATATAATTCGTTTCAATTTGAATAAAATAGGATACAAATAAATGCAAACGTTGTATCGATGATTTCACACGACGAAAACATATTGCTGAAAAACTTCTGGTATATTCATTTCATCTATTTTTGTATTCATAATTATCCTATTAATTTTTAGAATCATTCATCAGAATTTCTTCATCATTTCTGTGGACAATTACCTCAAGAAGATGAAGTATATTACTATAGATTGAATTATTTCTTCAATTATTTTCATTATATTTTAGTGTATTAAATCAGTTGATGAATCGATAAATAAATTGGTTGATTTTATTCGATCATTAGTATGAAAACTATATTAGAATAATACCTTATTGAATATTTCTCTTTTATTTAGGATCCACAAGGTATTTGTATTGAATTAAAAATGTGTGATCAAACATTACTAGAAAAAATTCAACCACTTCAAATAAGTTCATCAGATAATATCATAAGTGTAAGACAATTATATTTTAATTTTTAAAGAAAATATTAATATTTATTTTTAGCAAGAAATGACTATATATATTAAACACGAAATCTGCGCAAGACTTGGACCATTATCCAAATTAGTAAATATTTAATTTTTAATTGATAATTATACATTTTTATACTTTCTATAGTGTACTCAAATAATAGATTCAGAAGGTGAAAATTTGTTTACTAAGATTTCTAAAACTATTGATCCACATCAAGTATGTTCTATACTTAATATATGCCCGACAACTAAATCATTTGAAAATGTAAATTTGAAAAATGATCTCCTTGTTCTTTATTTTTTACTATAAAATATTATATTTTAGTGTAATGATAAATGTGAATGTTGTGTATCTAAACTTGAAGATTATCAAATACGATTAGCTTCATTTTTAGTAAGACTCTTACTTAAAAAGTATATTTATATTTGATATATTGTTTTGTTTTAGCAAACAATGCTTACGACAGCAAGAGCTCTATGTGATCGTATGACAGATGCTGACGACGTAAATTAATAGAAACGAATATATTATAGAAAATCATCTTTTTATTTTAGTGTCATCAAGCCGCCACTGAATTTGAAACGACTATTAATAAAATAATTAATAGTTTTGTAAGTTTAAACAAAATCTCTACGACTAGAATATAGCGGAAGCACATTCAGAATTCTGTGTAATACTCTAACTTTTTCCTTAGTTTATATTTTACAACAAAAACTGCTAAAACATAATCCGAGATTATCAGTAAATCATATAATGAAATTTTGTTTTTTTATTAGAATGCCAAACAAATTTGTCAAACATTATCACATTGTTCAGCAGTTTCTACAGGAGTAAGTGTTTACATATCTATTTCAAATAGATAGAAGGATAAATCTTTAGGACGCTATCAATGGTGATAAATGTACAAGTTGTAAAAATCAATTAAATATTCGTCAAAATAATTTCCGTGCTATAATCGATGAAACAACTGGTCATTTTCTTTCATTTTGTACCAGTGATGATTGTCGTATATTTGTTGAATTACTAAAGCAACAAAAATTATTAACTAAAATAGATGAAATAAATCCCTTGACAGTTTGTCAAAATTCAGGTTTCTGTTCATCGTTATCGTCAGAACAATCGGTACAATTTTTTTCTGATTTAATGGCAAATACTTTTTCGAACTTTGAATTACCCGATGATATTTGTTCAAATTTTGGAGATTTGAAAACTATCTGTACATATTTATTAACATCAAAACAAAGCGCTCGTTATAGCAATATCTATATGGCATTTGTTAAAAATAATCTTACTATAATTGATGAAGATTTACGTGCACAAAGCACGGATTCTTGTGATACATGTAAAAATGCTGTTCAATCATCCAAAGATTTTTGGTTAAATACATTAGTAAGAATAAAAATATTTTCTTTTGAAAATAAAATCTAAATTTTATTGTCTTTTTTTTAGGAATCAATTCGTGATGTTTTCTTACAAACATGTGACCATTGTCCAGAAGAAGATCAATGTCGAAATTTTTATAATCAACGATATGATAATCTTAAATCGTATTTAGATAATATCAATCCTGAACAATTCTGTCAAAAAACTCATATTTGTTCATCAATTGCATTATCGAATACATGTTCAAGATGTGTTGAACGTTTCCAAATGAGAAAAGATGGAATTTTACAAGGTATTGATCGAGTTGCAGGACATTTCATTGATCTTTGTCAACGACATGCTGAAAAACAATGTCAAATATATGTTAAACATGTACATGATTTATTACAAAAATCAATAGAAAAATTCAATCCAAAAGAAACTTGTAGTATCATTGGTTTTTGTACTAAGGATGGCAATGACAATACACTAGATTTCGATGAATATGAAAAAAATTTACAAGAAGAAATTGAGAAAAATATTTGTTCATCATTGGGTTCATACGAACCATTATGTAAAAACGTTATTCAAGGAAATACAAAAGAAATACAAGCATTAAAGATCAATTATGATATTACAGATGTATTGAAAATTGGAGAAGACTTAACGGAAAATTTAGTGAATGATGAAGAACATGGTAAGTTTTATTATTTGACTTTCGAATAAAAATTCAAGCAAGAAATACTCTCATTTTATTTAGTTGCATGTCGCAAATGTAAATGTCGATGTTGTGCTTTTCGAGTTGGTCAACGAAAACGTCGTTTACAGTTCAAAGGCAATCATGTATTTTCCGCTTTAATTCGTTCATGCGATCATTGTCCAGCTAAACAACAATGTCGTAAACATTGGCATATGGCTAAAGCTCGATTTGATTGTCATATTGATAAAATAAATCCTAAACGAGTTTGCACACATCTTGGTTTTTGTAATAAAACATTAATCGATGATAATACAGAAGAAATTTCAACTAATTGTGAAAAAACAATTGTATCAGAAGTAAAAGAAATTCAACAAATTGATACTTCTAATTCAACATGTATTTTATGTGAATATGTTATGAATATTCTTTCTAATTATATTCATAGTCAATCAACCGAAGAAGAAATTGAACAAAGTTTAAAACAAATTTGTAATCAATTACCATCAATCCTTCATAATCAATGTCAAGATTATATTGATAATTATGGTCCAGCGATTATTGCAATACTTCTTCGTGAATTTGATGTCTCAACAATCTGTCATAAACTTAATTTATGTACAAATCAAATGAAAATCGATATTACACATATAATGAAAGCCGATGTGAAGACATGTAGTATTTGTAATTATATCTCAACAAATCTTTATTTAGCTTCTCAACGTAATTCAAATGAAAAATCTTTTCAACATGCTTTATCAACTGTTTGTTCATATTTAACTGAGGAAGAAAATTCGAAATGTCAAATTATAATTCAATTATTTTCTTCAAATATAAAACAATTAGATTTAAATCCAACTAATAGTTTCTGTAAACAATTATCAATATGTGAAACACCAATGATTGAATTAAAACCAGCTGTTATATTAGATACAAAAGATAAAATTGAATCAAATATTAACGAAGAAAAAAAATCTTCTTCTATGGAAAATTTAAATTTAGCACCAAAATGTACATTATGTCATTATGTTATTTCATATTTGGATGCAGTTATGAAAAATAATAAATCTGAAGAAGCCTTTGAAGAAGCTTTAAAAAAAGTATGCACTATTTTACCAAGTAAGTTTAATGAAAATTGAAATATTTAATACTAAGTATTGATTGTAATTAGATAAAGAACGTGCTCAATGTGAAGATTTTATTAAAACTTATGGTTCTACTCTTGCACAATTAATTGCGGATATGGTTGATCCAGATACAGTTTGTCGACAACTTGGAATGTGTCAAGATTCTTTAGTACATGATCTATATGAACAAACACCATATACATGTACTATTTGCCATTTTATTGTTACTCGAATGAAATTTTTTATTGGTCTCAGTCAAAAAGAAACCGAAGTTTTTACATCAATTAAAGAATCATGTAATTTATATAATGCAGATCATCTTAAAAAACAATGTAAAGATTTTCTTGATCAATATGGAGATCATCTTATTCAAATGGTTTCGACTGATACTGAACCTAAAGTTGCATGTCAAAATATTGGTATTTGTGGTGAAACTTATAGAAAAACAATCGAAATAACAATTCCAATTTCATCATCAATAAAAGATGATAAATGTGCCGCTGGTATGAACTATTGGTGTAAAAGTCGTGAAAATGCTAAATTATGCAATGTAAGGAAATAAATTTTGTATAGTAAGTAAATGTTTATTGTATGTTTTTTGTTTAGGCTGTTGACATATGTGAACGTGAAATTTGGTCGAAAAACAAAGATATTATTTATTAAATACAAATATTATTTTATTTTCTCTTATCATGACATATTCAAAAAAGTTAAAATATTGACTTATTATTTATGACACTATTCTAAATAGATCAACAAAAAAGAAATATTTTTATGTTTTAAACATATATGCATTTACATATTTTTTTTTCTTCTTATTCATATCTATTTCTTGTAGTTATTTCCAATTCATTTTCTTTTTTTCCTTTCTTTTTTCTTTTAATATAAACAATTATTTATTATATTTTCAATAAACCAGAATTTTTCAAACCTATAGCCATTATTACAATAAATGAGCAGATAAAAATCGGTTACGGCCATACCACGTTGAATACACCAGTTCTCGTCCGATCACTGAAGTTAAGCAACGTCGGGCTCGGTTAGTACTTGGATGGGTGACCGCCTGGGAATACCGAGTGTCGTAACCTTTTTTGTTATTAACTTCATTGCTCTTCGGTCAATATGGAATAGAATTAGAAATAATATTGATCTTCTCTAGATAACATGACATCAAATAATAATACTTAATTAAATTTTTTTATCAGAAAAACAATATAAATAGAACATTTTGTTGTTTTATTTTTTGTTCCAAATGGCTGATATTTATTTTATTTCATCACTAAAAAAAAAGAAGAATAGAAGCAGCAGAAGAAGAAGAAGAAGAACAATAACAACAATAACAATAGAACAGTAGCCATAGCCACATATCTTCCTACAAGGATAACGAAAAAGAGCACCAATCTATTTAATATATCAATTATTCGAATAGAATGAGAAAATAATGTCAAGTGTATTAATTGGACAAGTAGATTATTATTATATATATATATATACACATACGCACACAAACGACTATTTATTAGATAGCAGGTACTAATTCATCTAAAACACATGCATTTATAACCATGTGTAAAAAGAATAAGTCATATGTAGTATTTGTTGTAAAGCATAAACACTGTTTGTATGAATTACAATGGTCGAACATAAGTTGCAGGAAAAAGACCAATAGTACCACGAACTTCACCCTTCCACCAATTTGCATCACTTTGATCTAACATTCGAATACGATCACCACGTTTTAATTCAATTTCACCATCTTCTTGTGGTTGAAAATCGTAAGCAGCTACATATGCTTGACCATCATTTGATGGACCTGAAGAATTTGAGGGTGGCGGTGGTGGTGGTTGAAAATTTTGTATTGTTCTTGGTGCACTTTTAATATTATTACTCTAATAAAATAAAAGATAAATAATTCTTGTTTTTCTATTTATATATTAATTTACATATGATTGTGTTTGTGTTTGTTCTGAACCCATATCTTTAAGTAATAAATTTTGTCCACGATTAACAGAAGTTGTACGATGATATTCAATTAATTCATTAACTGAATCAAATTTAACAACCCATAAAAAATATTTACCCATACCATCACGTAAAACTTTAAAATGTTGAACTTGATCTTGACATTTGACTGAAAGTGAAAAATCACCCGGAGATGATTCACACATTCGTACAAGAAAAGCACCATCAGCTTGTTGATATCGTTGAGTATTTGAATCTTTTTGAAGAAGAATTTTTTCGGCTTCAGCACGTGATATACTTCCATAAAACCAACTGAAAAGAAAAACAAGAAAACAACTGAATATTTTTCTATTCTATAATATTCTCTCTCGATCTTAAATGACTTTAAAAGAATACTTACGGATGAGGAACCACTTCGATGTAAGTTTTTGGTACATAACCTTCTTGTCCTTTTAATTCAGCTTTATACCAATTCATATCTTCTTCCATATTGAGTATCTATTCAAATGTATATGCATATAAATATATAAAACTAGATGATAAATCATACTTTGAGCATAGCTCCTTTCTGGAAACTAAGTTCATCATTGGCCGTTGCATTAAAATCATAACGACCGTAGGCTTGCATACTTTTATTTTTAGTTCTTCAAAACATATAAATCTAAAAATCAATATCTAAAATCAATATAAATAATAGCTGATTACTGACACAAAAGGAAAACATTTTTTTTTGCTAAAAAAGAAATCTCATTCTTGTTTTTGAAAATATTCTTTCGATTCAGTTGGATTAGGTTTAATTGTATTTGGATTTGTTTTTTCATTCCAATTAGCTGGACATACTTCGCCGTGTTTTTCAACAAATTGAAATGCTTTAACAAGACGAAGAATTTCATCGACGGAACGACCAACTGGTAAATCATTAATAGTTATTTGTCTTAAATTTTGTTTCGGATCAATTATAAATAAACCACGTAATGCAATACCACCATTATCTTCAATTAAAATACCATAACGTCGTGAAATTTCTTTTGAAAAATCACTTAATAATGGATATTTAAGTCCACCAAGTCCACCTTGTTTTCTTGGTGTATTGATCCAAGCTAAATAAATACAAGATAAAATGCTACTAGTTTATTAATTCTTAACCTACCAAGATGAGTATATATTGAATCAGTACTACAACCGATAACTTCAGTATTAAGTTGACGAAATTCTTCTAATTTTTCATTAAAAGCAACAAGTTCAGTTGGACAAACAAATGTAAAATCCAATGGATAGAAAAAAAGTACGACATATTTTCCTTTATAATCGGATAATTGAATATCTTTAAAATGTCCATTAATGACTGCTTGACCTTTAAATTCAGGTGCTGGTTTTGATATAACTGGAAATGAACTACAATGATGTGCTCGACATGGAATTGCTTGTAAAGAACTAGTTGCTCCTGTTTTGATTGTTAATGAAGAAAGATGGCGAAACAATTGACGATACATTCCTATATATCTTTATCTGTGTCTAGAAAAAGTAATATTAATTGAATGAGAAAGAGAGAGAAATTGTCTAGTCTTTATGATCGAAAAAGAGAAAGATTTAATTTGAATTTGATGAAATAAATATTTAACGCTTGAATGCGCGTTCATCGATCGATCATTCGATTGTTCTTATGTAAAAAAAAAGAAGAAGAAGAAGAAGAAGAAAGAAATGTAAGCAATCAAATTTAATAAGCAATTGTACTCATATATGATACAAAAATTTTACACAAATTATGAATGCATGTTTAAAAGAAAAATGGTGACTCAATATAGAACCTTTTTCTTTTTCTTCTGTGTAAAGTAAATACTACATTTTGATAGAGGTCAGTTGAAAGATTTTTATTGGATAGAGTTCATAGAGATGATAGAAAATTTATAATTGGATTATTCATACTCTTCAATGAATAACTCAAGAAAGATGGCGGAAGTTGACTACTTTCAGAAAGAGGAGGTTTTCGTTATGAGTTTGATTTATGCAGAAAGAATGACTTATATGCTATTGTCCGTTTATTAGTAGTTGTATGGCATTTTTGTTTATGATAGATATAATCGTTAACAAGTCTATTGAGTTCAATTGTAACTACTAAAGAACAGAATGAAGAGAAGAAGTACATGTAGTCAATACAATAGGTATCGAAAATATTTAATTCCATAGTTTCTCCTTTATTTTTTAATATTGTATTCTTACCGTGAGTCATAATCTTATTAGCTAAATAGATTTGTTTTGTAAATTTTCCTGAATGAAATACCTTATGTTTTACTATTTATTTGTTATCCTTGCTTTAGTAATTCTTTATCAAGTGCGATAGGATTAAGTCATCATCTCGGTTTTTTTCTTCTATCGATTGTCAATTAAATGTTATGTATGTAAAGAATCGAATAAAAAATGTCGTGATCTATTTTATAATGATATAAATATTTAAAAGATTGTTCACAAGTTACTCTAGTAAATTTAACTATGTGTCGTAAATATTGAAATAGATTTCTATTATTTAAAAAAAAAGATTTTTTATAAAATTGGAAAATATTTTTACATTCTAATAGACTTGTTACATCATATTACATTGATGAAAAATATTGAATGTTGAATTATTATTTTTCACTTCATGTTTAACTTCCATTAGTCGTTGTTTCTCGATTAATAAAGTACGTAAACGAGCGAATTCTAATAATGAAATATTTTCATTAAGTCGTCGAAGAGAATCTTCTTGTAATAAAGTCAAAATTTCTTGTGAATTACTATTTGTTATCAATTCAGTTAAACTATGTAAACTTGGCCCATCAAAATCATATAAAAGACGAGCCATTTGTCTCAAATTACATCCAATTAACCAATTCTGTACATGTATTTGTGTCCATTCATGAATATTTTCTGGAAGTATTAATAATCCAGGCGATAATGAAACTATAGAATTTATATCCTGTTTAGATTGAGTAGTTACTAATTGTGTCTCTTTTATAACAGGAGCTTTAAGTTCCTGTATTAACAATTCCATTGCTCTCGGAAATTCATATTTAGTAAAATCAACATAAAGCAATTGCCCAATAAGAAATAAAAGCCAACCATCAGGTTGATAATGTTCTTGTAAAAGTATCGGAACGATTTTTAGTTCTCGTTGAAATGCATAATGTGCTTCTGCACGACAATAATTACTTCGTCGATATTGTTCACTCATACAAATAAGGATCATTTGTGATTTTTCAATAGCTTGAGCCATTGCATCCATAACGTTTCCATGTATTTGATCGAAATCAATCCAAACACGATAACCATTTTTGGTTAATTCTTCATAGATTTGTTTACAAATGAATTCATCTTTATGTGAATAACTAATCATAATATCAAATGTTTTTCCATCACTAACTTCGGATGATATTGTACGATCTAAACCTTTCCATTCAAGATTCCAAAGAATTCCAAAAATAATTTTACGTAATTTTTCATTTTTACATTCTTCTTTCAGAAGAGTTAATTTATTCATAAATACTCGACTAGAACAAAGTTGTTGTTGAATATCATGATTAAACGAAAGTGCCCAAATAATTTTAAATGCAATTGGATATTGTTCAGATATGTCGATAAAAAGTGAGATTTTATTTAAATCAGCTGTTTTCTGTTGAATTGCGTCATTTTTTGATAGAGTTAAAAAGCCTATTGGAAATTAAAAGATTTAATTTTGTTTTGTCAATTAAAAAAAATTAAATTACCTGTTAGTAATTGTGGAATAGGTATTCGTTTACAACGTTGTGTTGGATGATGCCATGCAAGTTCCAAAATCCGAAAAAAAAATTCCGATATATTATGTGTAATTTTTAATTCTTTTAATTGTTCATCTGATAGGATTTCTGCAAGAATTCCATATGCACATAATGATATACGGTCATAACATGATTGTTGAGCTATTGCTAAGATAATATTTGATAGAATTGTTTCTGAACGTATGAAACAACTTAAATCTTTTATTTGTAATAAAGATCCTAAGAAAAAAATTAATGTTGAATCAATAAGTATTGTTTCATCATTACACCATTGAGATGTTATACGTTCATGAAATGTTTTCTCTCCAATAATTTGAATAAGACCTTGAATATATTCATAAAATATTGGTTCTGATGGAATAAGTATTTGAATATATAATGCATTATCTTCACCCCACCAACAACAAGCACATATAAAATCAATTAAATGTGTTATACAAGTTAATAATTCTTTACTCCATGAATTAACAGTATGATAATGTGCAAGAATGATTTTTAAATAATCATTACCATATCGTTCAAGTAATTCATTACCTTTAAATGGTGATTTATCAAGTTTGGAACATATATACATACGAAATAGAAATGAACATGTTTTTATATAAAATAATTGTTTAGTTGTAAATATTGATTGTGGAATTTGTGTTTGACAAAGTTGAGTTAAATAGAATTTATATTGATCATTTAAAATATAATTGTGACCTATATGTTGACATAGATGAATAATAATGGGTGATATTGGAAATTGTGCATGTTCGTGAACTAAATATGAGAGATTATCAAACCAACGACTAATAATACGAAGAAAAGGATCATTATGATTTTCTATTTTTTCAATTTCATTGAATATTTTATCAATAATTTCAGTATTTTCAGGAATAAGAAGTGAGAATTTGATATCAGTTTCAATATCATTATTATGAAAAATTAATGTAAGATTAAATAATGTAAGGGTATCTAATAATTCGAGATAATTTGATTGTTGGATCCATTCAGATGATTCTTCTCCAAGTAATTTCCATGTCCATTGCTCTAAGATGAGTAATGATTGGAATGATTGAGTAATAAATGAAGGTAATAATTCATCTGTTTGTTGTTGAAGATGTACTATTATTTGATTAAGGATATTATTTGACGATGGAGTTAATAATAAGTCAGCAATAAGTTTCTCAAAATTATTTTCCATTTGTGACAGTTATTCTGCGATGACTCATATGTTTTGATGTATGTGTTCTGATGACATTACGCTACACTGCTTCGTTTCTCCTAGTTTTATATGACAAAATGTCACGTCATCATTCCGATAGAGGGATGCGGAATCTTTTGACTCATATTGTTATCATAAGGATGACCTTAAAAATTCTTATTCACAATCTGAAGGCGGAGAAATATATACATCTGAATAATTTCTCTTTGAGATTAAACTGAAAAAGTATTACATCTAATATTCCTCTGTATATATATATATTGGATTTTAGTGAAATCAAATATCTTTTTATTTTTTATAACAATATAAATATGAACTAGTATGTTAAGGCAAATAAAACATATTTGGTTTGATACATACATTCCCTAAAAACCAAAAGTTTAATGTATGAAAAATATCACAATAGTTGACAACAAGATTTATTTTTTTCTGTTTTAATAGTTCTTTTTCTAAATAGTCGTCTAAATTGTGATTTTGGAACGTGTTTTTGTTGATCTATTAAAGAACGAAGATAGGATAATTCTACTAATGATAAACTTTCATGAGTTAATCGAAATGATTCATCTTGAAGAAGATTTAAAATTTGTGTCGTTTCACCATTCTTAATAAAATTATTTAAATAAATCAAACCTTGACCATCACAGTTAATAAGAAGTTGAGACATTTGAATGAGATTATGATCAATTAACCAATCATATACATCTGTTTTTGTCCAATCTTGAATTTTTTCTGAACGTATCGGTGATGATGATGATGATGATGAAGATATTTTCAATGGTGTTTGTATATTACAAAGTAAAGCAACAGTACCTGCTCGAGAACGAAGAGGTGTAATACTACTTTCAGAAATTTCTTCAGCTTGAATTTCTTTCATTAATAAATCTATTCCTCGTCGAAATTCATATTTAGTAAAATCAACATAAAGCAATTGTCCAATAAGAAATAAAAGCCAACCATCAGGTTGATAATGTTCTTGTAAAAGTATCGGAACTATTTTTAATTCTCGTTGAAATGCATAATGTGCTTCTGCACGACAATAATTACTTCGTCGATATTGTTCACTCATACAAATAATAATTGTTTGCGAACGTTCAATAGCTTGTGCCATTCCGTCCATTACATTTCCATGCATTTGATCAAAATCAATCCAAACACGATAACCATTTTTGGTTAATTCTTCGTAAATTTGTTTACAAATGAACTCATCTTTATGTGAATAACTAATCATAATATCAAATGTTTTTCCGTCATTTATTTCTAATATTGTACGATCTTGATGAGTTGATTCAAGATTCCAAAGAATTCCATGTGTTATTTTACGCATTTTTTCATTATCACATTCTTTTGCTAGATTAAGTAATTTAGACATAAACATGGTATTTGACCGAAGTTGTTGTTGAGTATCTTGATTAAATGATAAAGCCCATAAAATATCGAATGCAATTGGATATTGATCAGATATGTCGATAAAAAGTGAGATTTTATTTAAATCAGCTGTTTTCTGTTGTATAGCATCGATTTTAGATAAAGTTGAAAAACCTAGAAAAACAACAAATGAGAATAATTAAGTTTTCGAATTCAATATTGTTATCATTTTACTTCGTAATAAATGAAAAATTGGTATTTGTTTATATTTTTTTGATGAATGTTGTAAAGCTTGTTCGAGCATATTATAGAAAAAAAGACTTAAATTATCAGTAATTTTTAAATCTTTTAAACGTTCACTACATAAAATTTCACCTAGGATAACATAGGCACGTAAACATATTTTATCATGAACAGATAATCCAGCAATTGTTAATAGTGTATCTGGTAAAGAAATTTTTGAACGAAAAAACCATATGAAATTTTGTGTTTGTACTATATTTCTTAAAGAAAATAGACAAAAATCCATTAGAATGGTTTCATCCGTTATCCATTGAGCTGTAATATGTGAATAAAATGGTTTATAACTTATAATACGTATAATTGCACTAATATATGAACAAAGAATTTGTTCAGAAGAAAATAAGAAATTTATATGTGTAATATTTTCACCATTCCACCAACAACATGCTGATATAAAACCAATTAAATGAGCTATACATGTAAGTAATTTTTCACTCCACATATCAATTATATGACTATGAACATCAATAATTTTAACAAAATCATTACCAATATAATTCATAATTTCTTGTGCAGTAAAAGGAAAATCTTCTTCTTGTGCAGCTAAATATGAATTTAAAGAAAATGAACATGTTCTTATATAAAATAATTGTTTAGTTGTAAATATTGTTTGTGCTATTGTTGGTTGTTGTAGTTGAATTAAATAAAATAAAAATTGTTCAGTCATAAGATAATTATGTCCAATATATTGATTCATATGACAAATAATTGGTGATGTATCAAATTGAGGATTTTCATAAATAAATAATGAAATATTATCAAACCAAAGACTAACTATAGTAAAAAATGGATCATTATCATCTTTAGTTCGATTAATTTGTTCGAATATACCATTGATTAAATCAATAGTATCTGGAATCAGAAGTGCTGCTTTGATATTATCATCAATATAATCATAATTGAAAATTAAATTTTTATTAAATGAAATAAGTGTATAAAATAAATTTAAATAATTTGGTTGATTTATCCATTGATATGAATCTTTACTTAATACTTTCCATGCCCAAGATTCAAGTTTTAATAATGATTCATATAATTCAGAAATAAATAATGGATTTAAATCATTATTTTGTTTTTCTAAAATTGTTGTTACTTCTCGTATACCAAAAGTAAATGATGCAGATAATGGAAGTACATCAATAAGTTGTTCAAAATTATTTTTCATTATTTACATGTATATTATTTAGATACGTTATTCGTATTGTTTTTTGCGTTCGTTTATTCAGTATGCACACATGTTTTTTATTGATGTACTTTATAACGATATTTTTATTCTTTAGTTTTTTTTTCTTCTTTGCTGGTGTCAGATGATCGATCGGTTGGGAAATGGATATATAGAGAAAGTCCTGCCTTCAGTATTCTTTTTTTATCATACGAATAAAAATATGACGCACATTGTTTCGTACTGATATTAGAATATCAATCTTTCTATAAGCGAAAGATACATATTAAAGAACAAAAATTTCTTTTAGAAGATTGAAGTTTATTGAATAATTAACATACTCTTGTAAGCTTTTTTTCTTGAATCATATAGGTAAAAGTACATTCTCATACGTTGTTTTTTTGTTCTATTATAATCGTATAATATCAATGAATATGATTTACAGAGAAATAAGCAATGTAGTATAAGTTCCTGTTTACAGATTTAGAAAAACGCCATAAGAAGAACAAGTATGATCTTCATTACTAATTGTTTACAAAAATAAGCTTCGAACATTTCAATAAAATTTGGTCAAGGAAGGAACTAGGAAAATTCATAAATCATCAAGATAATAAATCTATATAACTAATATTCTCTTGACGAAACCATCTTATATACATAATAATCTATTGCAAAAATTTGATAGATACGATTTTTGACTTATTTTTGAATCATCACTAAAAGCATTATATTTTTATATAGTACTCATAAACTTGATACATAACAATAGAAACTTATAAGTCTTCTTTTTCAGACAAAAAGACTGACTTTAGACCTTATCCAATTAATAGTGATATTAAAAACATTTATTAAGTTAACACTATCTTTTAGACAAAGTCCAAATTCATTTTTCGTTTTCAGACAAAAAGAATGACTTTAGACCTTGTCCAACTAATAGTAAAAGTAGGGGTATTTATTAAGTGAATACTATCTTTTGGACACTCTGTATGTTTGCATAACAACAAAGAAGTTAACAAATACTTAATGTAGTTTTCTAGTAACGCTAGAAAGTCGAGATTTAGATCATAACATTTCCAAATATGCGAGTCTATGACTGTCTCATAACATTTGAATCTTCTTCTACAAAATATTTAGTTTATCATACTAATCAAAGTGATGTAATATGATTAACTATTCTATTATTTCTAATAATATTCCATATTATATAAGTATAGTTTGATTGATTTATACATGATGAACAGTAACAATTGGAAAATAATTGATAATTGAACTTAATCACTGAGAAAAATTAATAATAGATAATTCATATTTGATAACGATATCGATGTTAATGTAAGATAAACAGACAATTGTATATCCTTTTTTGTATATACACTCACTATTTATAATAGAAATATATGAATCAGCGGGAAAAAACAACAACAAAATGTAATCAAACGTGAAGCGAGAAATCTCTGATTACAATATGCGGTATTTTCTTGAAACGTTTGTAGACCTTTCGAAATCATTCTGTGTATTATCTTTGTGGTTATTATGTACAGAAATATATTACTAATTGCTTCACCTGAGTTAATAAATACATATATAAGTTCAATTGGATTGTTTTCCAGTTATTGTACGTATTTATTATGTATACAGAAAAGAACAAATCTTTATAAGAAAATGACAAAAATATGTTCTCCATTAAACACCAGTACGAACAGTTACACGTGATATACTCGATTGTTGTGGAATTTTATCAAAATGTAACCAATGTAGACGTAAACTTCGTAAACAACATCGTCGACAAGATGCTTTTAATAATATAATAAGTTCATGACGAAAACGATTGCCACATAATGAATAAAGAAAAAAATTTAAACAAAACGACATAAAATAAAAATGTCTTAATATATCCAATGTACGTGTTAAGACATGTTTTGATATAACTGAATAAAATAATACTGCACAATATGGTGAATTAAATATTAGAAATGTTGTCGAACAAATAACAAGCATTTTTGTTGTTCGTTGTGATATTGTTTGTCGTTGATGAGTACCATTTCCTGTTGTTGTTGTAACATGTTCATAGGATAATGTTGGTGTCGATAGACGAGGATGAGTTATACGTGATAAATATTCATTACCTGATCGAACGGATTCAATACATGGTGTAGAAATTTTACGAGTTGCTATTTTTCTTTCGTTTTTTAATTGAATATAATCATTACTAGTTACATATCCATTTGATTGATATAATCGTTGTCTTTCAGGACATAAATCTGTTGTTTGTCGATGATAGCTTGCTATAGTCAACGATCCTCCTATTTAGAAAACAAATTAGTTATGACTTTTATCAAAATACTATAATTAGATTTTTTTTTGATTAAAACTCAGTTAGATCATATTTAAAAATTTGTATTACTTATTTAAACATGATTAGTGGTATTATTTTATACTTTATGCTCTCTAACCTCAGTGTAAGGGCATATGTCACTATTAATAAAACAGCATAAACATAATTTCTGTAGAGGAAATTGTATTGCATGCTGTTTACATATAATCATTAGATATAATAAAGAGTTCACAAGGTGCCATTTTTTTGAAATGCACTAATAGGATACGTTTTTTTAAAATGTAATCTAGAGTATAGTAAAAGTTCTGGTCATGACATTTTTTACTTTTATAAAACATTCCGTTCTCAAAGTTCCATTACATAAATACGTAGTAAAATACCTGTATTATACTAATGCATGTAACAAGCCTATCCTGCACTTAATTCTAATGTACTTGTAGATAATATCTACATTATTCAGTACTTAGAATTTTAATTAAAATACTACAAGAACGAGATTATTTTTAGTTTTATCCCATAAAAGTGTTCTAAAAAGTCATCATAATTATTTATAAAGTTCAATTTGTTTCTAGAATTTTCTTTATAATTCATGTTCAATGATATTCGTCAGACTAATACTAATAAAATATTTTTACGTCATATATTAGTTACAGTTCATAGTGTCTGCTGATTTAAATTATTAATTATGTAATTAGATTCTTCTAAAATAGTATCGTTATTTGAGAGGTTTTCCTCCTTTTTTTCCTATTTAATATTGAATAGAAAACAGGTGTGATTTTTCTAGGTTTGAACTATACAAGTAAATATCAAAATAGTTCATTTCTAAATTTTAATTATTTGTACTTCGCCCTTAATAAAATAATGTTCTTTTTGTATTTTCGTCTTTTAAACAACATAAATGTCAGCTTTTTCTATAGGGATTTTCCTTTGGCATCTATAAAAAAATGGAACAAATTATGTTTCTCGTAGCATATCTGAGAAGTAATCAAGAATATTTTTCTTAAAAGTCATTGAGATTATTCATTACAAACAAAAGCAATGAAGTGAAGATATCGACACTCGATCAACCATTCAGTTTCTGTAAGTAATAGACTATCTATTATTCACAGTTATTTACCACTTCCGAATCAACTCAATTCAACTTATTGAGATATTAATCTTTAGTAATAGAGAACTAAATAGATATTTCCATTATGCAATAGAAATATTACTATTAAAATTTTCGTATACTAGTTATTGACCGTAAAGTATTTTCTTTCTAAATGAAATATTATTAATTATAAACGCAATTTCACCTGAATAATGCTTATCATTTAATAAGATTTTCTCATGTCACATTCGTTTAAATGGGATTCTTTTTTTTTTTTTCTTTCTTTCTAGTTGAAAATATAAAAACTTGATAGTGTGTTTATCTTACCAAATTTATCTGTAAATTTTTTTCTTGATTGTAATTTATAAACAATAGCAATATTACAAAGAAGAATAAAAATAAATGGTAAAATAAATGTTAAACATATATCAACAATTAATAATGGAAATAACGCTGGATAAGTTTCATCTTCTCGACATTGTCCTTGGGATATATTCGTAAGAAAAAAACTAAATGAATAAAAACTGCAACTGATAAATATAAGTAATAATATATTTATAATTGATGAACGATTTGATATGATTGTATTAGCATGTAATGGAAAAAGTACAGCTATAAAACGTTGCAATGTAAATGATAATGTAAATGCTGCTGATAAAAATGAACAAACATGTGTTATATAAACAGTTCCTTGACATAATAGTAATGAACGATGAAGACCTATAGTTTGATGTGTTAATGTATCAATAATAGATAAAAATATAATTAATAAATAAAGAAAGTCTACAGCAGCTAATGCTGACAATAATATTGATGAACGCCATTTACGCATTGCTTGTTGATTTAATACAACAATTGTACCTGCATTACCAATAATGCCAATAACAGATACAATAAATGTTATATAAAGTGTTAAACGTTCAACAAGTGGTAAATTCTCATAATTAATAAATACCGCTTCATTAGATAATAAACTTGTGTTATTTAATTCAGTTGTTAAATTTATATTACCAAATATTAAATATACAGTTTGATTAGCATTTGCCATTTGTTAAATGATTATCATGATCGATAATATACTCGAAGTTTTTCTTTTTTCTCTAGAATAAAAAAACAAATAGAGATATTATTATTATTCTTTCTTGAAGATAAGATATATAGAAAATATTTTGGATGCGCAGATATCTTAGCAGGAAGAAAATAACAACTGTACGAGTAACAACATTCCAATTGACTGTCATTCTAACAAATGTCATCACTATAACAGGACCTACTCTATGATACTATCCTGTATTCGACAAAATACACAAACATGTACTTTTTTTTCTTGTCAAACACTCATTTCTTCTTCTTCTTCTTCTTCTTCTGATTCGAACACTTATTATCATTGAGGTTATTTTTTATTTGGTTATATTTAATGTAGCATGCAATAAAAGAAATATAACAAGTGTAAAAATTTGTTTTGTCTTTCCCGGAAATAGTCTATTTAGATTACTCTTATTTTTTTGACTTGCGTATATTATATAGAAGGTAGCTAGTGGTAAATATTTTTGTTCTTCTCGATTATATGCCTTCTTCTCTTATATTATAGAAACATCACGCAAAACGAGACTTATGACAGCAACTGAGTAGAAGAAAATGGTGAATTATATACTGCTATTTTCGTCGCTTGTTAGAAAAGATTATCGTTAAAAAGGAATAAGAGAAGATTCATCTTTAATAACGAAATTCTCCTATTCCATCAGACGTAGATATATATATATATATATATTATAAACATAGAAAAGATAAAAAATTGAAGAATCGAGTGTCATTGCATGTCAATTAGAAACAAATCAAAATTAAATGGATGAAATAAGAATTTTTTCTAAAATCTATATTTTAAAGATTTGTCAAAATATCATGAATATACGTATATACTATATATATATATAGAAATAATAAATATTTTATTATTATTTTATTCAAGGTAAAATAAATACGAAGTATCGATTTTGTAACCCAAGTGGTTTATGGTAGATTGATCAATCGAGTTGTTCTATTACTTTTTTTTTCCTATTGGCATATGGTTAAATACCAAAACGATTCAATTACAAAACTCAATGATAAAAACATATAACTAGAAGATGATAGCTGTAAAAATGTTACACATTGACCTGGAAGTAATTACACATTCATACGTTAAAATATACAACGAACATATAACAAGAGTTGTTATCAATATCATTTCTTAGAAACGAATATGAATAATGTATAAGAGAAAAAAAACTCATTGGTTTTTCTTCTGTATTTCTTAAATTAGGCAATATTTTATGTCAATTCACCATCACAAATAAGTAACTAATAAGGGTAACATGTACGTGTGCCAAGGGCGGGAACAGATATAAATATATACATATATATTTAGATATATATTTATATAGATAGATAAAGCTTAACTTACTTTATACATATGCTAATAAGGCAACGGGTCGCATACAATTCTTATTAACATGTTTCGTCTTTTTTTCTATACCATTTGAATCTCGACTGTTTCTCTCATCTCCTTGCCTTCATAATCTAGACGTTCTCTCTCTCTCTTACTCTTGTACTTTTCATACGGATATATCTCTGTTAGGCTGATCGCCAATTAATCAAAATACGTCATGTAGTAAAGACAAAAAACAAAAAAAATAGATAGTCATAAACAGATGATAAGAATGTATGATTTAGATTGATGATGTGTAAAATGTTTTTTCTTTTTAAAAAAAACACGTAAAAAAATCATTAAAATCTAAAATTAAAATATATAAGATTAGAGAAAATAATCTGGATAGATATATGAAAAGATCAAGATTATTTGTCTACTAATTAACGTTCCTATTGCCTCATATATATATATAAACAAATACGAAAGTCTTGTTAAGTAATTAGTAATCAAAAATTACTTAAAAATTTATTTAACAAACCTTCTTCTATCTACTTGATGAGAAAAAAAGAAGAATTATAACATATTGCGTATCAATTCACATAAAGAATAACAATTCTTGCTCACGTAATGCATAAGATAAAAAAATAAACTATAGAGACCTTTTCAAGCATAAATAAATATTAGATTAAAGCAAATGGAATTTACGATTAAGATTTGTATCTCTTACATTGTCTTATTGACATGTATATATATATGTATATATATCCTTCAATTGGATTCTGGATTGTCTGGCTAGCAATGTTGATGAGCAGAGAATATTACTATAAACGTATAAACATAAAGAAGATTGCTTTTTCTGTTTCACACACTTTTAAGATTATCAGTAAGGCCAAGGAGAAAAGAATATAGTTAAAAAGCTACATAACAGGAAAAAGATTTATTGAATATTATAATAAACAAAAAGTATGAATTTGATTGAATTCATATGCATAACCCCATATATATATATATGAATACAATCTACTCAATGCTTTCAAATAGGAAATAACAAGACTAACGAGCATCATTTATATTTTTTGTATAAAAAAAACCAAGAAGAAGAAGAAGAAGAAAAAGAAATAGACACATACTGCTCTGTTATATTATTTTGTAAGGTAAGCTAGTCACGATTCAATGAAGTAATAATAAATGATGGAAAAAATCTCTGCATGTATAGCTGATAATAATATCTAGTAGGAGGTAATAAAAGACATTAATGGCATCGTTGAAAAAAAATTGTTCGGTCTCTTATATGAAAAAATTCTTAATTCTATATCCATGCGTGCAAGCTATTTTCTATCTCTTTTTCTTTTTTATTTCATTCATGATTCATGACATACTCAGGGTAAAGTCAAGTCTTTCGAAATAGTATTAAAGATTATACAAAAAATAAAAGACTTTTTATACTTACATTATTAACATCTTTTATATGATTTTTCTTATTAATAAAATATGCTATAGTCTACAAGGGGAGTCTCTATTTAAATCTAAAAAAAGATTATCTAAATTAAAATCAAACAATGCCTTGTAATAATTTATTATAATACTAGAAGCATTCTATGTTTATTTCTTTGCAAAACAGGTCAATAATAATTTCTTATACATATATCACGACGGAAGAGAAAGAGAAATAAGAGAAACACAAATGTCATAATAAATCGATGACAGTCACCATGAGAATCTTATGTGCTGACGTATACAACCTATACACTTACATCAGATGTAGATGTAAAGAAAATAATATATATATATATATATTCCTTCTTTTTTTTATTTTCTAAGAGTAAATATATCGTATTAGAACAACGTAATTAACTATCGATAGACAAGTTAACTTACATAGAATCATATATCATCAATATAAACCATTGTCAATATTTAATTATAAACTCCACCTTTTCTTTGACTTCGACTTATTTTCTTTCTAATTCAATATATATGATTGACAATGCATATGCGATGAAGATCGACATTGAATTAACGAGCAGTAGTTATCGTTTTGTTACAATTTTCTCTGCATGATTAAATCGTTTCTTCGTCTGAAAATATGATTATATTCTATATGTTCACAAAACAACAGCCAGCAGTAAGTCCGAGATAATACTTGAATAAGAAACATACCATCAATGTCTTTCGTACTGAATTACCTCATTTTTAACTTTATGTTTAAAAAGAAACTGCGTATATTGATTAATCACTATGTAAGACCATGAATAATGTTGACACTTAAAAGCGACGTTGAACAACATAAATGATTACTACTGTTCTATCACTCAAGGATAATCTGTCAAAAAGGAATGAAGAGAGGAAGAAAACGACTGACAGTAATACTAGTGGGGCATTGCTAGTAATGGTTTAGTATAGAACTATCATCACTTATTCTAGAATGTCGAGATCAATGGCAGACTGATGTTTTCTTTGAAAGAAAATCTAATAAACTACGACGAACAGAAGTTGATAGAATCATTAGTCTTTTGTTGAACTAAAATTTAAATTTAGAAACTATCGAAAAAAAAAACTAAAGGTTGCATTTTTTCTAAATATAAATTATGGAAATCTATCTATTATATCTACAAAATATATTATAAAAGAACAACATAAATAAATAATCATCGAGGCTAGAAAAACGTTCGCACTTGTTCTATATTAAAAGAATTTGACATCTGATTCTCATCGATATTTTCTGTTTATATTTATATATCATCCTAGTTTACTTTATTTATTTTTTGTCATCAATACATTTAGTTTTAGTATAAATACTAAAAAACAAATTTCCTATTCTATGTAACTAAAAACTTACCTTCATAAACATATTATTCAGGAAATATACTTCTCTTTTGTAATAATTTCTTATTTATGAATTACAGCTGGTTTATATTACAGAAATATCTTTGTTGTACTATTTAACTTGTAATATAACGTTCGAATGCACATTGTATTAAGTTTTTTTAAATCTTGAGTGTATATATCTTATCATCTGCTCATAAAAATATTAATAATGATTTTTGCACTGAATAATCGCTAGGCCTTGTTTTTTGAAGTCCAAACATATGAGAAAATATATGTACCAATGTATTTCATGAACATATGTTTAATAAAAGTGCCATTATTATTGAATGTTGAATATTAATAAATGTTTATGATTCTTTGTTTGTGAAAACTTGATTCAATCATTGAGTATATAAAAGTTTATTTGGTAGAAAGCTTTCGGCATTGTAAGAATTATTATTTTTTTTCTAACTTTAGAAATTCCTATTAAATATATGAATCACCAACATATTTATGGTCGTTGAATAATAGAAAATTCCATTGAAGACGTAGACTATAAAACCTTAACAGGATCGAAAAAAATTTGAGTATTAGTTTCAACTCAATTACGGTCATATTGTAATTCTTATCTACATAGGATAGAATATTTTAAATATTCTATAGACTCACATAACGATAAGTTTATTAAAATGTAAACAATGACGTCAGAGAAAAAATTCTTTGTATATTTATCTTTATCAAACATGTGATAAATACATGTGGTCATATATATGTTCGAAATACAAAATCCAGAATAAAAACTAATTTTCTTGTTTATAATTGACCTTTGATAACCAAAGTAGTTCTATCAATATGTCAATCTCTTCTAATTTAATAAAATCATCTTATTAATCGATAAGTTATATTGTAGAATTATAAATAGATAATTTTAATCATGATTATTTTCGACTGAGAACGACAGTTGAAATTTATACAATATGAAGTATCAAAACAATATGACAAACCATTTATCTAATTTCATGTTGTGATAAGAGATTGTTCTGTTCCTTTTTTCATATTAATTAAATTATTGTATGGAAAATCAGATTAGCGTGAGTAGTGTTGACCCCAGATGGATGAAGTTGAATCAATTAGTTTTGATGTTATTTTATCCGATCAACAAAAACACAATTTTCTCATAATATGTCTTAGTATTCTCTAATCTTCAATGTTTATCTTGATCGATAACAGATTTCTAAATCAGATGAACTCATTGATTATCTTTCACAGTTGACTTCAGAAATACGCTGCGCACACATGTTATATCAATCAATAGTATAAACGATCAAGCAAAATCTTTCTAAGTACGAATGAATACTTTCATATCTAAACTATCTTATCTAAACAAATGGAAATACGTTAAATCTGTTGAGTTCATAATATAATAAAGCAAAAATGTTCTACTTATGTATTGGAGTTTAAATACTTTGATCTTTCATTAGAGAATCATTCTAATGGAAAAACTGGAAAATAATGATTTTGCGTAGAATATCTCATTACTATCTTGACAAACTATTTATCATTTTTTTACAAGACAATAAAACACAACAGAAAGAACAAGACAAAAAAAGTGAAGACGAAGCATACTGTTCGATCAGTTAATAATAAAAATATTCGAATATGCATATATTTTTTGTTGAAAGAAGAATATTAGAAATCAATAGTTGATTTTTTATGTTGTTGATTTTCTGTTGATGATGATGTATTTCTAACTATTGAATGTTTTATTAACAATCGACGATTAAATCTATTACTAAGAGATGTATCATGCCAACACCAACATTGTCGACTACATAAATTAATCCAGAGTAAAACAAGAAAAACGATTATCATAAAAACAATTCCTGCTATATAGATAGCATTGACAACATTACGTGTACGAACAGGTGTTATTGGAGTCGATGATGATGATGATGATGATGCTAGAAGAGAGAGTAATTTGGTAGTATTTTCTAACATTTGTCTTTGTTGTTGTAGTTCATTCATATTATTCTCCATTCTCATTTGACTTTCGTCGGACTGATGTGATGGATGTTTAATAAAAACTTTGCTCGGCTGTTTTGTAGTAATTGTATCATATTCTTGATGCAAACGATTGAGAAAACAGAAGAAGAAGAAGAAAAAAAAAGTTTATTAAATCAATATTGTTGATGTTTACGTGTTGAAGTATATATTTCTCATAAAATAGAGTATTGATCGTTGATGACACATAAGGAAATAAGTAAAGAGTAATGTTGTCTAACTTTCTTTTAGTTGTTTAACTAGTATATTCATGCGTTGTTCTATCCGAGTAGTTCCATTTGCTTTCTTGCTGGATGTAATAAAAACGAAGGGAATATATATCTACATATATATATATATATATAAAGAGAATGCCGAAGAAGAAAGAAATGACGAATAGATCTTTTATTGAACTGACAACAGCTTCCGTTATTCTTTTTCTTCTATATTTTTTTTTATTCTCTTGACGAGTCATGAACAAGAAAATGAGATCAGAAAAATGAATAGGAACAAAAAAAAGGCTAACAAACAAGCAAAAATCTCAATGAACAGACTTGTATTTATAAACATGGAATATTTTAATCTCTTATTTTTTCTTAATTTACTAAATACTGTATAAACTAAGAGAAGGAATTATCAATCGTTTCGTGACTATATTCTAATTATTTCTTTTTTTTTCGGTTATTATTTGTAATCAACTATAAGATAGATATATGCATGCAAAGAACTTAAATCTTCTATTATGAAAAACAAAAACCTAGTATAATATGTCAGCATATCATTGATTAATTCGAAAGTTTGTTATTATGATAATTAAACATTGAATAAGCCAATGTCTGAAATAAACTAATGAAATTCTTTTTTTTTGTTCCTTATATTGAAATGATTAATGAATAATGAACAAATAAAATATTTCTTTGTTTTTCAAAATAAAATTTTTTCATTACAATACAATTTGATTATAGAAAACACTATGCTCTGAATCAATATTGCATATTTCTCTCGTTTTTTTTTTCTCTCTCGCACTTTTTTGCATATTTACTTATGTCTCCTTGGGAAATCAGTCAGGTGTAACCAACTAATGATTCATATGCTACATAAACGATTGGAAGACATATATTTTTTCGTGATAGTGCACATGTTTGTTAATTTAAACGACTATTCTGTTTCCTACATATTTTTTTTACCAATACATTTGTAATCAATATAGTGCTGTTTACTTTTAAAAAAACATGTATCAAGATGCGGGGTATGGTGAAAATTGGCAACCAGCAGCAAATAATGCAAGGTAATTTTTTTAAGAGATATTGTTTAGTTTTTTCTTATATATTTTTACAGACGTATCGATCCATATACACGATCATGTGCAGCACTAGGTGGTCTATTTGGTTGTGGCTTTATTATAATTGTGATTATTGTATTATCATTAATTCCACTTTATATATCTCATGATTCATCAACTAATAGTAATATTCAAGCACCGAGTAAATATCTTTTGATATTTTTATTTCTTTGTATAATCTTTTATTTTCAAATGTAGAAGTTACTGTAACTAATTATAATCTTCAATTCCAGTCTCCCTTCAATAACTTTAACTCTCAAACAATCCTTTCTGATAGTACTAATCTACAAACTTTACAAGCAGCACTTACATCTCTAGTACAAACAGATCCTGCTATGGCCGGTTCTGTTGTGGAAATAAATACATCCTCAGTACAATCTAGACGTAAACGTCGACAAACGTCAAACTTACTTACTATTACATTTAATTTAAATGTTATTAGTGGTAAAGGCTGTTCGTCAATAGCATGTTTGAATCAATTTCAATCTCATGCTACTAGTTGTTTAACTGATATAAATCAAACAATTTCTGGTGTTCGTTATCAACAATCGGGTTCATCAAATATCTATTGGCTAAATTATAAACTACCTCAGACAATGCAATCAAGTAAGATTTTTGTAAAAAATATCAAGATTAAAAAATAATTTTTTATTTCAGATGCAACATTTGTTATTGTTGATTCTAAATTACTATCTTCTCTATTGGCTACATTAACAGAACTTGATGCAAGTCAACATCAATCAGCAACAACAACAACACCAACTACAACAACGACGAATAATTTAGTGTCAACTGTAGTAGCTTGAATACTTTGTATTTATTAGTCAGATAAATGAAAAAAAACTGTTGACAAAAATTTCAATTCAATAAAAAATAATAATAAATATTTTCATGATATCTGCTTTTATAAAAGGGTTTATCACGAGTTTGAAAAAAACAAAACTGTCAATCATACTTTCGTTAGTCATTATAGAAACATAAAATATTGTTTTCATATAACGAAGTATTAATATGCGACATACAAAATCTTGATGCTGACATCCGGATTTATCAAAGAATAAAAAATATATTCATTCAGATGAATAATAGAACGTGATAGAAATTGATGAAAACGAATAGAGTAATATAAAATATTAATAGAATTTCTTTTGATTTTTTTTTCTCTAGAGACAAACAGTTTTTTTTTGTTTGATGTCATATTCAATATCTATGTACAAGCAAAGATTTTCTTTAATCAAAGACATATCTTTGATTTAGATATATACGGATGCTATTGACGTTTGTCAATAAAAATAAATCAAAATTTTGTCAATGTATGCTTGGTTATAATAGAAAGTTCAGCATTTAACTAATTTTTAAGCTTATATTCTGTCTATTGATATATATGTTAATAATTTTCAACGGCGGAATAATTTTATTTTGTTCAACTGATTTAATTATTATCTAATACAAAAGTATCAAATCGTTTTGTTTCGGCGTTATAATCATACTATTGAATTTGAAAGTGTTTATAGGAAAATAAATCAGATCATTCTTTGAACAAAAAAAAATATCCATGTTCCAAACTATTTCTTATGACATGAATTAATTGTTTTATAAATGCCTAGTTAAAGGAAATTAAGTCTGCAAAAAGTGGTTATATAATTTAATAGTAATTGTCATTTGAATAAGTTTGCTTGAGAAATTCTTTTTATTTCAAAATAGTTATGTTACACTTGAAAAATATGAGACACGCCTTTATTTACCATATTTTTCACGTACTTTGTATATGTATCTAATTTCACTTAGTGTATTGCGCATTTATAGTAGAAAAAACAATATTTTCTAAATGATCATTAAAACATTTGAATAATGATGGGCGAAAATTCGTATTCATATGACTAAGGTTAGGTATTTCAAGTCATCATCTAGGTTTTTTTTTCCTATTTATAACGTCAAAAGAAAGATAATACACGGAAATTATTTCATATTATTTCTGGTATAAAAATTTATTTCTTAAACAATAAAAATCGATACTGTGAATAACTTACAGTTAAATAAAAGTTGAATACAAGACGATAATTAATACTGGAGGATGATGATGAAGAATAAATGAGGAACAAGTCATCTGTTAATATACGATATAATCAACATGAATATATTCACAACTGGAATACACTCAAAATAATATTGAGGAAATTAATTCTTATTCTTTTTGTTTTTTGCTTATGTTCCCAGTTGACATAATAGAGTTATTCAAGGATTCGATGATAAAAAAGAGAACAACCTATAATCAAGTACACGACAAAATTTTCTCGAGCTTTTCTTTTTCGTTCAAATGAACATTTAAAGATATATTTTTCTTAATAAAAACACAGAAAAACGTAAATTAGCAAACGTACAAAGCCGTGAAAATAATAAATCAAGTTCAGATTGATCTTTCTTAGTTAGAAAACTTTTAATTATTTCAAACCGTTTTGATCTAATTAAATTTGTAAGAATATTTACAATTAATTCTGCATCATTGGATGATGAATTTTCGTGATATAATAAAGATAAATCATGTAATAAATCTGTTGGAATATCAGTTTGAAAAATATGTTCAAGATTTTTCAATTGATGTAAATAATCAAGTTTCATATCATTTGGAATACGTCGCCATTGTTGAATAAATTCAATAACATTTTTTGGTGTTGAAAATGTGTTTATTTGAGGAAGTAAAGATGATTCCGATGGAAGAATTATTTGTGAAGATGAAGGAGAAGAATTTTGTCCAGCTGGTTGATTCCATGCAAGTGATTGACGTTCTAATGTTAAAGTTTCATTTCGATCAAGTGGACGTAAATGTGCAGCTGCAACAATATTTCGAAAGTCATCATAGGTTGAACAACGTTGATGAACAGCACGAAATTTTGCATCATTTCTTTGCCAATGAAGATCTTCTTTAGATTTTTCTTCAGAAAAATTCTTTGCTAATTTACGTAAATCAATTGGTTTCATTTGTTTTGACATTCTTATTTCAAATGAATATGTATATATGTAAAATTCATGTATCCAAGTAACTATCCTCTTTGATTTTATTGGACAAGAATTTTTAACTAATCATACTTAGAAAAGATAAAGAACATATGATCACTACCACCTCCATCATCTATATTTATAAGAAGAAGAAAAAGAAGGAAACAACATAGGTTTACTTGGTTATCAATGAGTAATAAAAAAAGTTCATCGTATATTATTGATGCAGATCAAAGTCGGACAGTAATGAATTCACTCTTCCATGGTTCTAATGATCAAAATAAACAACTACCCAAACCATACAGAGAGCGCGTTTTACCTGCATCATTTTATCATCCACCACGATCTAATAATACAAATGAAACTAAAAATGGTCACCATGTTAAAAATCGACCGAGTTTACCTAGTACATCAGTATGCACGAAGACTAATAATTATCACTCAAGATGTGTTAGTGATAGTGCTACTGTTTCTGGAGAAGGTATAATGAATTCAAGACCAACAGAACTTCCATTACCGGATGGATGGGTAGAAGGTCGAGCACCTGACGGACAAATATATTATATTGAGTAAGATTAAGAGTACATTTACAGCTATCGATAATCATAATTACATATGTGCAATACTAAGTGTTTTGAAAACTTGTTTAAATTTGGTTTTTCTATAAAAAAATTATCGATAATTTCTAATTCTATTTTCATTTGTGTATACTTCAAAAAACCAAGTGTCTTAATATACATATGACAACCTGCGTCTTTTTTTTCTCTTAGTAATTTAACTAAAACTACAACATGGGCCGATCCACGTCCAAATCATTATGCTGCATTTCAATCGTGTTGTTCTATACTTCCACTACCGGATAATTACAAACAAGAATATGATTCTAAAGGCAATACTTATTTTATTGACTGTAAAACTAATCAAATTAGTAGGAATGATCCAAGACCTAGTAAATTTTTCTCATGTCATTATTATTTACAGCATTACTTTTGATTTTTCTAGAATATTATCATTCTTTAATGACACATAGACTTGATGTACCATCTACTGGATCACAAGGAAATTTATTAACAAATACACTTGAGAAAATTTTACAACAAAGACATGAATTACAATTACGTTCAACAGAATTATTAAAAATGGTAAAATATATTTTTATTTGTCTATTAACGATACTTAATTTTTGTTTTAAATAATATATAATAGGAAATTAAAAGTAGGAAACTATGCTTTTTAGTATTGTTATTATTCGTAGTGATGGTGTTGTTGTT